TACATTCAACGCCTGTAGCAATCCAAGCTTATCCAGGGGCTTCATGCCCTTGTTAACGATTTCTGTTAGGCACTGACAGGCGGCCATTCGCAGTGGTTCGGTAGTGAGGAATTGATACAAGCCGGAAATGAAATCCTGGCCAACTACCAGTTTGATATCAATCCACGATACGTAGCGAGCGAAAAGATTAAGGCACACATTGGCAACCTCGGGGTTCGTTTGCCAACTGGATGTAAGAATGTTGTACCATGTTTCCGTCAAGCGTCCGACCGCAGATACTCGCATAGCATCTTTGATATCAGCGTTCCGCTTAGTGTCCTCCCCTGATCGCTGAATGTATAGATTGACAACTTCGTCGTCCAGGGCGAGGGAAATGCGGAGGAACATGTCAATTGCCGCTGGGTGTTTTGGGGTGCCAGACGTAGATGCGAGAAGGGCTAAAAGGTCGTCAAAAAACGATGGCCATTCGTGAGGGTATTGGTTTTGAAATACAAGGACGATGACCAGTGCGAATTTATTGCGCAAGTAGACCAATTCGGTTTCGTCCATGCCTCCAACTAAATATTCCCACAGACTCTGACGGAGAAAGGTGTGTTGTGCAACCTCCAAGGAAGAATATCGCGTTCGCAGTAACTCTTCTACAACGGTCAGGGCTTGGAACCGTACTGCAGGCGCGCTGATGATGTAAAGAATGGAGAAACGACTATGTTAAGCGCAGATCTACCAAAAAGGCTGTTTCTCTGCGAGTTTATTGCTTATTTGCTTGTCATTTGCGACGTTCAGCTATGGCATCTGCACCGGTATTGTGAACATCTGCAACAGGGGGCATCGGCATTGACTGTTTCACTGGAATATCCCGCGTCCAATCTTCATACTCAGCATGACAACACATCCCATAATTCACGCCGCGCAGATCCACCCACAGCTCCATGTCATCCCTGTTAACGTCCACCATTTTCCTAGAGGATGGTTCCAAATCATCGGGATTTTGTTCAAAGCTTTCTCACCTCTTCGGCGTTTTGGCAAAGATGCGCAGTCCAACCGTCCACCCATCTGGACTGGCGCGCACTCCCTCGTAAAATGCAGTTGCTTGCGCTTTCAGCCCCGCGTCCGCCGTTGGGTCTAGCGCCACAGTTATGGCCCGCTCAAAGTTCTCCTCCACAGCCTCCATGACAAGTCAGAAGCCCCTCCCTATCCCAAATACTTTCGAATTCTGTTGCGTTTAATGAGCCACCAACGAGACCAGGTTCATACACCGAGGGAAATTCGTCCTATTTAAAGTTTGAAAGATCTATTACAAGCATTTGGTTACGGTTGGCTGCGCTGGAAGGCTTCCATGAACATGAATGACACCCATGGCGCAACCGTCAATGACGCCGTACCCCGTTGCCTTCAACTCTGCGTATTCGAGTGATTTCCACCTCTCCAATGCACCGTCGCTTGTGTGGGAAGGACTGGACAATCTTACGGTATGGTTTTGACACTGAGCATTTTTCGAACCATCGCACAGAAAATGAAGAGTCACTTTCTGGTGACTGTGCCTTCGCAGTCTCGGAAGTCAATTAAACCATAAACAGAAACATTGTTGTCCGATAATGTCCGAAACCCTGCTGTGCGCAATTCGTCCGAACTGCTCAAAGACTGCTTCTGCCTCTCCCGTTTCCCATCCAACTTTGACGTCGGTGCGCGAGGGCGTCTTTTGATCGGTGCTGAAATAGAAAGAACATGCCAGCGTCGCGCTCTCCTGCTGCTAACAGTCCGGCACCTGCCGCAGACGCGCCGCGCGTGTCCCGCTTTTTTCCTGAAGGTGAGATGCTCAGAGAGTGTCCATGACCGTCGGCCGCGACATGCGGTCCCACGGTCACAAGAGTCTTATACGATCACGCGTGTTCTAGCGAAGTGCTGGTTGCGTACTGACGGATCATGGCCTGTCTTTTCTCGTGGTCGTCGTATGCACACAGCAGCTTGCATGGACACTGCCGGCAACAGCTCAACGAAAAGACAGAACAGTAGCGTGGGAGAAGGTTCTAACGTGGATAAGAGGCTTCCGAAAGGAGTCGTATTTGGTGCTGTCAGGGTATGCAGGACTGCTACACATGCTTTAATTCTTGAGAGGAACGTGAACAAAAGCATCTCCATAAACAGGACTTGCTGACTACAAGTTGGAGAGACAGGCAGAAAGGCAAAGAAAATGGCGAGGATGACAGCGGAGAAACCAGTTTGAGGGACATCATTCAAGCTCTGCGTCAGGAAAGGTATGCAATGCATATCATTCCTCTCCGATGGGGCATTAGTCGTCCACTCACGTTCTCCCCGCATTAGCGACAATATCGAGACTGTTCGGAAAGAACGCGTCTTTGATAGTGAGGTTACAGAGGAGGAGATGGATATCATTCAAAGGCGCGTTGCAATTCAGCAGAAGCAGGTAAACCGATTCGTCAAAAGCGCAATCTTGCCATCAAGGCACAGCCCTATGCTCACCGCAAAATGCTGTTCAGTACCAAGAATTTCAGCGTAAAGAGATGGCGCGGAAGATCTGCAAAGTGCGAGGAGTGTTTGAATACTTGAAGCTGGATGAAATTAAGGAGGCACTAGCGGAGGCGAAGGACGATGAGGTTCGGATTTCTGGATTCGTAAAGCGCAATTGCCTGGCTGCTGTGACTGCATATGCTAAAGTTCAACCATCCCAAGGACGCGGCCATCCTGAACTTTACGCAACCTGACTATCTTATAAGGTTGCGCAGGGTTATTGCGCTGAAACACGCGCCAGTCGAAAAGAAAGGTTGGTACCGGCGGGCCAAGAAGTTTCGGTCGACACACCCTTCATTGATACCTCCATCGAAACAGTACTTTTAAACGCCGAGCAACAGGAAGCGTACGACAGACTTGTTGAGAGGCGCCGCAAGTCGGTCAAAAAATCCACCGGTGACGAAGTAAAGCAGTACGTAGTGACACCACCTCGCTCTAGAGGCATGCTCGCCACTGATAGTTCATTATTCTGTCAGACGATCCATCAAGCTTTCTCGTCTAGGTTTGGACGATGCTCTGGAACAGCTCAAAAACGGGGAAGACCCAACCAAAGTATTCGAGGGATGGAGTGACGCGCGGGTTCGCGCATACCAGCAGATTGAAAGCAAGCCGAATTCATATTATTACCGATTTAATGCACCGGGAGAGAAACAGCGCAACGGTGTGTGGACAAAGGTGAGGGCGCTTTGGGTGCATGACAGCAGTTTCCGCGCAGCACATGTATTTAACGGCATGTTGCGTTCCAGGAGGAGAGAAAATTGTTCTTCAAGCGACTGGAGGAAATGGGTGCGGATGGGCAATGGGGTATCTTCTCGATGGCCATCCCAGGACGCGTAGGCTACCAGGTAAACCAACCACAACACCCTGTACCCTTGCGTCTTTCCGTAGACAACCGATTCGCGCGTACTAACGCCGCCTCACAGTGCTCAAATTTCTACCGCCATCTCCTGAAAACCGGCGAGATTAAAGATCCAAACTACCTGATTGACGAAAAAGGAAACCTTTCCTACCTGTTCGGCAAAAAGGACGGAAAAGAAGGCGTCATTCGCACACACTCCAAGCACGGATCCGGCGGCATGGCTGCCAATGGCGGGACTCGATCATCCTCACGAGCCGCTGCCACCAAACCTGCCGCGAAAAAGCGCAAGCGCAAGTCTCGATACGGCAGTGACGACGATGATTACGGGGAGGATGGCGATGTTGGGGATCTATTTGACGAGGACGATTCGGGCAATTTTACGTGCAAAGTGTCGTGGGCCACCACGCGGCGGACGAGGGCGAGGGTGGAAGCTGCCGCCAACGGGGGTGGAGGTGACGCTGAATTCGATGAAAATCCTCTGCCGGGATTCACGGATCCCATCACATTGGATGAAGTCATCAAGCCTGCCATTTCGCCGTATGGGCATGTTATGGGGTAATTGTTGAACCGCACTGGACGTCCTTTCCATATCAGTGTTTAACACCATGCACTGACGATTTCCTTTCCCCGCCTCGCAGATACGACAGCTGGATCCGATGCTTGAGCAACGAGGACAAGAAAAATATCTGCCCGCTCACCAAAAAATCGTTGACGAAACGCGAGTTGGTGGTTCTCACGCACGAAAACATTGAGGAGTATCGGGATCGGATTGTCAACAAATAGGGATTTTCACTGCAGTGTGTGTGCGTGTCGTTTTTCTTTTGTTACCCAGTTGGCGATACGGGAGCCCCTTGTACTTTGTATATCGATTATTTTGAAAAGAGTGAAACGATGTTGCTTGGAAACATGAGGAGTCGTGGGTTACGCACAAGTCGAGAAACAAAATGGTTGCAAAAAATGCAAAGGTCTATCTATGGTCACCAGACACCGCTCATTCCGCGATCTCTTCGCCCAGACAGTACCCAGCTAGATACAGAGAAGCAAAAAACCATCGGACTTACCTGGGAAAAAACAAAAAACAGCGCTATCAGCAGCCCAACATACAGTATGCTCCCTCCGTGGATTGAACACGGGGCCTTTAGATCTTCAGTCTAACGCTCTCCCAGCTGAGCTAAGGAAGCACCTATTTGATATGAAAAAGATTTCCACTGTGCCCGGATAAGAAGTAAAAAGCGTTTTTGTGGGTATCCGATGGGTATCAGTGGGTATCCGAAGCGTTTTCTTGGGGGTTAAGGCGGGGTTGGTTAAGGGTGGTTGTGGAGCGGTGGGTAGGGGTGTATTTGAGGGATGGGAGAGGTACGAGGTGGCAAGTGTGTGGATGCGTTGAGGGGTTAATCGCCAGAAAACTTTGCATTCGCTGGTCAAGACGCGCCAAGAAGATGAATTGTCGTCGCTCGACGAAGGGTCGCTTGGAAATCCGAGTCCCAATCTTTGATTGATAAATCAATTCTCGCTCCAGCTGTGGGTGGACGCTTAATCAACCTTATTGTCCAGGCATTCCACAAGACCATCAGTCACCCCTTCTAGTAGGCTTTTTTGAGGACTTTACACAGGTCAGATGGCCGAGTTGGTCCAAGGCGTTCGACTCAAGTTTCTCGCTTGGAATTCGAATCTCGTAAGAGGCGTGGGTTCGAATCCCACTCTGACCAATTGTAGGTGTGGAAATGTTATCAGGCTTAAGAGAAGCTGGTCAACCAAATCTGATACGAGGCGGAAGCATACGGTTTTGGTGGGTGGAAAATGGAGACGCGTCAGGGGACAGGGGGGAGCACACCGACCCGCGTCAGAACCGGCTGAAGAGCGGGTTTGTGATAATCATAGATACGGACGGCCGGAATTTTTTTCATTAAAGCTACGATTTTTGTGTCTTACGTGTTTATGTAGTGTTGGTTCTGTCCAGGCCGCCCGAGAGGCGTCAAGAAGATGCTTTGTTGTCGTCGACAAAGAAGGTCGCTGGAAATCCGACCAATCTTCCATTGATATAAATTAATCGCGCTCAGGTATGTATGGGTGGACGCTTAATCAACCTCGTTTCCCATGCATTTCTGCCCAAATACCAACCCCACTTCTAACAGGCAATGACCAATTTCTAGTGGGAATGTCATGAAGGTTGAGAGAAACTGGCCAGCCAAAGTTTGTTACGGCGTGGAAGCATTCGGTTTTGGTGGGTTGAAAATGGAGACGCGTCGCGGCGGAGAGGGGGGTGCACCGACGGCCGGATGTTTATTTTGTGTCTTATGTGTTTATTATTCTGTCCGGCCGAGCTGGTTGGAAGTCGTGCACCACATTTTCGTTCATTCTAGTGTTTTTCCCCTGGGCGTTCAGGACCTGATAGCCCTTTCTTCTTTGTCCTTTTGGTATTGGGGTGGTGTCAGGTACAAGGATCCTTCCAAGTCCACAGTCCCGCTGTCATCAGTCCAAAAGATGTTAACAGTACGTGTCTGCCTCCTGTGAGACCTCGTTGAAATTAAGTGCGGAAATGCATTTCACGGCCAAAACATTTTTTTTTTTAATTATACGTTGTGTTGCGAGATCTACACTTTTTTCGTACCGGCTGAAGACTCGCTCCACAAGAGATTATTAATCAAAACCATCCCTCTAATAGAAAGG